ATCCACCCCGTCCTCCGGATGCCACACTACGCAGTACATGTAGTCTCGCGGGCCGTCTTGAGTGCTGAAGATTTGCTGAAGAGGGAAAATCTGCGGATCCCCATTGCGACATTCCGTCATGGTGTACTGATGGCCTACCATACTCCGTACAAGCAAGGAAAAAAATAGGTTTACAAGGGTGGTCAGCAATATATACCGGCCGTTCCCAGCCCTCGTGAAAATGGCGCACATCTTCGCGCGAGCGAAAGTCTGAAAAGTCTGGGTGGTTTTGTTTACTTTCTGTTTGGAAAACTACGCTTCGGTGTTCCTTCTCACGATCTAGAGGCTAGTTGAGGCGGTTTCACCCCTCAACCCCCGCGCGATCGCAAAGATGGCTCTCCTCAGCTTTGTCACGTCGCAGAATTTTGAGAAGCTCAGTGTCTTCCTTCAATGGAAGCTTCTCGTGTTGGCCGCGATCCCCGTTGCCGTGGTATACTACTTCAGACGGACGAAAACCACACCGGGTATCGACATCAAGCAGTACTCTCACTTCCCGCAGCCTGAAGAGGCCGACCCAGTGAGGGGTCATTGGCCGTGGATTGAGAAGTCCGCCGGTCTGGGTGATCCTAGAAGGGCTTTTGGTACGTTTCAATCTCGGAAATCAGTAGTGAGGAGGTCCTGGCGGCGTTGCAATTGGATCACGTTGCGGCTTTTCGGAAACGAGACACAAATTTTACGACGTGCTAATGCTTTGCGACTATGTAGATGAGATTCTCTACGAACAGGCCGAGAAGCTTGGATTCCCTCCCGTTTTGCTGGTGGACTGGCGACCGATCGAAAAGTTCCTTATTCTTTTCATCCTCGACAACGAGGTTGCCGAACAGGTCACCAAGCCCTCGAAGCAGTACAGTACTAGCGTGCCGAAGCACCCCGCCATCCAACATCTGGCCCCTCTGGTCGGCGCACGATCTCTCGTAACGACGGATGTAAGTCCATCGCATGGTGCTGCTGTAGTTAGGTAGGATCGTGAGACTGACAAGACGCTTGCACTTTAGGGTGAGGAATGGAAGGGACTGCGAAAGAGAATTCTTCCCGGCTTTGCCCCATCACATCTTCTCGGTCTAGTGAAGGTCATCTTGGATAAGTCGGAGACCTTTATCGAGCTTATGGAGCAGAAGGCTGCCACTGGCGAAGAGTTCACTATTGACGAGTACACCACAAACCTGGCCTTCGATGTTATCGGTGAGTTTGAAAAGACACCTACGGAATTTGGAGTGTGTACTCATTGTTAATGCCAGGCATTGTCACTTTTGATATGGATCTGAACGCTCAAATCGAGGGCAAGCAAAGCGAGGTGTTACTTACATATCGCGCCCTATCGCAAGCCTTCAACAAGCGTATCCCCGGCAAGAACTGGATGCGCGAATACTTCACCGAGAACGAACGCACCATCAGACGTCTGGACAAGAAGCTCGACGGCATCCTCAAAGAAGAGATCAAGAAGCAGCACAAGGAGCTCCTGGCCGGTGCCGACACCACATCCCGCAGTGTCGCCACCCTCAGTTTACAAGGCATTGACGTTCTGACCCCCGAGATCCTCCAACAGACCAGCGACACTCTCCGCGGTTTCCTCTTTGCCGGCCACGACACGACGAGTATTCTCCTGCAATGGTGCTTCTACGAGCTTCACAGACGGCCTCAATCTGCCAAGGATCTGAAGGATGAGCTCGACGAGGTCTTTGGCCCGGATCAGAGCCCCAAGTCTGTCATTGAGCAACTCAAGGGCCCCGAAGCTGGAAAGCTTCTGGCCCGCCTGCCTTGTAAGTTCAAGATCTCTCCACATCATCTCTACCCTCGGAACAGCTAGCTAACGGCCGCGCAGACACCGACGCAGTCATCAAGGAAGCCCTGCGCCTGCACCCTCCCGGAACAACAGCCCGCGTCGCGCCCCAAGGATCCGGAACGACCCTGACTCTCCCCGACGGACAAAAGCTGGTCGTCGACGACCTCTGCGTGACCCCCAGAGCCTACATCATCCAACGCCACCCCAAGATCTTTGGCGAGACCAAGGACGACTTCATGCCCGAGCGCTGGCTCGGCGAGGAGGGCGCCAAGATCCCGGACAGCTGCTTCAGACCCTACGAGAGAGGACCTCGTCGGTGCACCGGATCCGAGCTCGCCAACTTGGAAGTGCGCATCATTCTGGCCTGCATCGCGAGATACTTTGAGTTTGTCAAGGTCGGGCAGGGCGAGCTGGACCTGGATGAGAAGGGACAGCCCCAGCTTGACGAGAAGGGTTTCTACAAGACGAAGTCTGTCATGTTCTCTGTGAGTAGAACCCCACTGCCCTTGCCATTGAGACGAGCTACTTGTACTGACATTCCCCCTCTATAGACTCACTTGGTTACCGCTAAGCCTGTCGATGGCATGAAGGTGAAGGTCCAGATCAAGGGGCAACAAGCGTAATCTCTCTCACATGATACCACCAATGAACCAAAACGCAGGTCCGGGATACGACGACTCGACGGTCTGACGCGTTTGTCTAGAGACGGCTGGTGGGGGGTTATCTGGGGCCGTCGTGCCCCATTTCAAACCCCATCTACCTTGTATCATAGAGAATGCTTGACCCTGACGACGATATGTTGGATGCGATGAATGTATATAGACGTTAGTGTGTTTATGACGCTTCTGGAAGAATGCTTGACTGGAACGTTACCGTGTAGCATAACATTGTCATGATCCGCGGCTCATTCGACTGTCGTCAAAGGAAACATATTCACTAAACAGACTCTCTGGGCCAACCTTCTCCGGGCGAACCCGTCATGGGTCCGGCACTTGGATTCGCAGCCTGTTTCTCTCGCCCACCACGTCCATTATTACAGAGGGGTTGGAGGGGTAGAGGGGCATTCTGCATGGGTCGTCCGTTGTCGGCGAGCTAAAGCGGACTAATGCAAGTAGATGGGGTCTGCAACGTTCCCATGTCTGGTCACTGCTTTTATGGAAAGTTATGCAGGCCCGCTCGCTTGTGATAGCGAGCGACGTCGATAGCTTCCACAAGCTAATTCACACAGTGCTTGCAATTTGCTAGCTGGGGCTCACGATCATGCATTCATCGTATGAGCTTCGGGCTCGTCTACGTGAACGGAATGAGAAGTAAGTCGACATCATCCCTCATAATTGATTTCAATCGTGTTCGCAGAGTTGGCATGTCACTTTGCAATAACAGCTGAAGAAGACAGTGAATGGTGTGTTGTACCTTCAATTGCTAACCTCTGAGGATGGTATGTGTATTCTGGCTCTCCACGAAGGTTAAGCAGAGGCTTTACAACTCTACTCTCCATGTCGACAATCTTGAAAAGTTGCCCGCGACTCCATATTATCTCCGATGATTCCTCACATCTTCCTCCAAACCGGCCACTTCCAACGGGTATCAACCATATCCAACAATCTCTGCAACTCTAGTACTCAGAACCCAAGGCTCAAAGCCTCTAGTCCATAGTCTCAATTGCCAAACCCAACGCCGCCATAGTATGGTCGCCAAAGGCATCATCCATAGGAACGCATTTGCAGACGCCGTTGCCCCAGTTGAAGATGGAAACGCCCTCCTCGTACGGCGGCAGCGGCTCGTCGGACTTGGCTAGACGGTCGTCCTTGTTCCCAAAGATGGCGCCGATGGAAACGCAGCGACAGAGCCTGTTTCTCCAGGAGAATACGCCAGGAGTCTTGTATTTGGTGTCTCTGGGTGAAATCTGGGTGGGCTGGGTTTCAGGGTCGACATCGTAGTCGCTGGTGGCGCCGTTGCCGCTGGGGTCCGACTTTGCGGCTTCTTCCTCTTCGCGTAAGGTCTTCATGTCTTTCGGGGAGGATGTTGTAGATGACTTAGGTGCCTCTATTTCGACTGGTTTTTCCAGCTCTTTTGAGAAGTCATATGCTTCGGAAACAGTGGCTGGCGAGGAACATGAAGTAGAGGCGGTGGCGGTAGGTGAGGTGGATAACATAGTAGGTGTTGCCACAACGTCAACAGCGTCATTGGCACTATCACCACTACTCGCAGTCCGCTTGACGATGATAACATTCGTCTTGGGAAGCTTCTTAATTGTGACTGAATCTGAGCCGGCAATGGCGAGCAGACGCTTGAGGTCATCCAGGTCGTTGTGGAAGAACATAACATCGCCGAGTTCTACCTGCTTGGTGTTGGTGGTGGTGATGCGGCCGTTTGCGTGCTCTTCAGCCTTCTCCACCTTATCGAAGAGGTTGTTAAGGAGCATTCCGGCAGGAAGGAGGTCCTTGAGCTGCATTGTAGCGGTGGTGGTTGCTTGTCTTGATAAGTGGTGATTTCTTGGGTTGTTGACTTCAAAGGCCTTGAGAAGTAGGGTGTGAATGGAAGACTGGGTAGTATGATGTATGAACTACGAGTATGATGATTAGTGCGAGGCCTTGGAGGGATGAAGACTGGCATCGGAGAAGAAGAGGAGTCTTGTACACTCCATGAACTGGACGTAGCCCGTACAGGTTCTTTCCGGAGATACAGTTCCATGGCTTTTGAAAAGCTAAAGAATCGCAGTGCTGAGGATTCCACGATGCTGGAGAACCCGGTCATCCAAGGTTGAGCAAGTTTCTAAGCCTCGAAAGTTGCGGACCACAAACGGGAGAGGGCGCAATGGCTCTCAGGCACGAAGCCATGATGATCGTATATAGGTAGACTTCAGGGTTCGGTCCTTGCTATCCAGAACCCTTAGGGATATTTCGAGAAAGCCACGTTATGCCCAAATGATTCATAGTTCCATTGATTTCACCACCAAAACAGTTCTATTATATCATAGTAGTGGCAATGGCAAGACTTCATCACGGGTTTCCCGTATCATGGTTGCCAGTCTAGGCGTCTAAGGAAAATGGCTGTGGTATACCCGAGGAAACGTGCGAGCCACAAACTTAGTTACTTAACTCTGAGGAAGGGAGCCAGGTTCATCAGATCTACATCTTCCCTGATCTCCAAAGACACTAGGCCTCCAGATGATCAACTAGTACTCAAACCCCTCAAGACACCTAACAAGCTCCCTCTCTGCAACCGCCCTCATCCCTTCAATCTCCTCCCTCGTCTTCCGCCTCAACATGACAGGATGCTCCAAAGCAAAAGGACACGCCAGCGCCTCCAGCCTCCTCAACCCATCCAGCGCAGCCATGCCCCTAATCTCACTAGGCCGCACCGCACCTCTCTCCCTCAACGCATCATCCCACGCTCGAGCCGTCGTGAGCTGTCCCAACGCTTCTTGCGGTAGACTCCCCCTGATCCCGTCAAAGTCGCCCGTCAACATCGCTTTACCGAGCAGACCCCCGCTGAGATCCGGATCCCGCCCCGTGCCGCCGCCCGTGTTGCCGCCGACGTCGCCTAGCGACGTGAAGAATTCGTGACAGGGGTGGGAGACGAAGGCGAAGTCGAAGTCGAGGATGGAGGTGAGTTTCTTGGTGGTCGTATCGTAGAGGGTATTGTTCGTAGCTGGTAGAGGAATGTCAGTAAGCTGGATCGGCTTGACGACGAGACCAGACTTGACCGGGGCAGTAAATAACTTACTAAGATCCCCGTGAATGAGAGCCAACCTCCCAACATCAACCCCAGACCCATCAAGATAGCTCTCCAGCCCAGACTCCAAGAACCGATCAACACGCTCCCGCACACCGTTCGGCCTCCACCCTTCCAGTGCCGGACTCGCATCCGCATCCTCCAGCCGAATTGCCAACCTCGCCTTCCAGAAATCGCTATATCGCTCCCAAGGTCCGCCTTTAACCGTCGTCATCGCACCACCCACGATTCTTCCCGCTTCGTCAATCGACAGCCCCCCGTGGGACTTCACACTCTTCGGCAAGGAAACCCTCTGGATCCCCGTAACCAAATCCGCAATCTGGCCCAGCACATCGCCCTTCTCTCCGTCGTTCATGTCGCGGAAGACGGTATCGAGAGGCACGCCCTTCTTGAACTCCATCAGACTCCACCCGTAACTGCTGCTGCCACCATCGCCCGGCACCCCCGCCTCCATCCCCGTGATCTCGGAAGGACGATAGGGTCTCCAATCATACAACGCCGGCACGAGCCCCGCAATCTCAGGCTTATACGACCCCAAACCCTCTCGCGCGAGGTGAACCGCCGCGACCTCGTTCTCAACGCGGTTGTCTTGGACTACGCCTTCTGCTTTCGGGTTCGCGATGCGCATCACCACAGTAGAAGTGCCTTGCCCAGTGGGAGGCTGGGTGTACGGGCGGCGGCGTTCATGAGGGATGGAGGATGGTGTGAGGGGCGCGGAGAGAGTGATTTTGTAGATGTAGTTGTTGTAGGCGAAGGGTGCTGTTTCATCGTAGTCTATGGGGGTGATGTCGACGGGCTTGAGGGGGTGTTAGATAGAGGTGGGTGATGTAAGGTAGGAGGGAGGGGGGTTTCTTACTTCGAGGCCGTAGCTGTGGATGACGCTCGTGACGAGGTTTAGGCGTTCTTCGTATCGCTCGTGGTTCATGATGTATGGTGAGCGAGATGAGTTCGAGTTGCGGGATAGAGTGAATGCTTTGGAGTAAGGTGATGGTTCGGCCGGTGTTGATACCTCTCGACCAAGGCAACACGAGAATCTCATGGCTTCTTTAAGTATATCCCCAAGTGAGACGACTCCATCCAATCCTCGTTACACCCTTGCCCAAACAAGAACAGTTGACTCATAAATCTCAGAGAGGAAGGAGTTTAATGCTTATTTCTCATCAAATCTTGTCTTTCTTGTTTTTCTTGTCTTTCTGTTGCAAGTTTCAAGGAACCGCAGGAAGCGAAACGATAAAGCAAACGCAAGTCATCATCGAAGCTTTCCACACATGGATGAACTTAGGGCCTTGCCGCTGAGATGATGCTGAGCTAGACAAATCGGATCAAGTCCGAGACCACTAGACATGTTTGCTCCATCGGCCGCTGATCTTAGTTCAGACCATGACATGCAGCCGTAGACTTGCCATGATCCCTGCTAGACCTTTGCTGCCTGGAGGTCATGTCCTGAAAACGTTGCAAAGCACGCGTTTCTGCCTAAGCTGTGCCGTAAAGATGCATGAGATAGCGTTTGAAGTCGTTGAACCCAGGGACACACACGGGAGACATTACGAAGTATGCGCCGAACGTCAGCTCTCGGCGGTAAGAGGAGGGTGATGGAGAGGCCGTGGTGGGTATGCCCCGCTAATAGATCGGCTCAAATGGGGACTCGCCGGCCCGACCTCGGACGCGGAGGGTCCGGGGGCCATCCTTGCCACGAGCTGCCGCGCGAAAACTCAGGGCCTGCCGGTTACGGCCTTGATAAATTAATACAGCCCCACATTGTCCAACAATCACTGGTTTCGTGGTGTAGTTGGTTATCACGTCAGTCTAACACACTGAAGGTCTCCGGTTCAAGTCCGGGCGAAATCAAACTTTTGACTTCTGGAAGGCTGTCCTGCTTTTTCCGACCGTGGGGTGAAGTTTCACTATCCACGTTGTTCTTATCATGTAGTACGGTGGCATCCCGATATCCATCGTCTCGCTGTACACACGTTTCAATCACTTTTATGCCTACTAGCTTGTCTCTATTTTTTCTGGTTATGATTTGAATAACCTCCACCTCAGCTATCAATTACACCCACGATCCGCCCAACGACGCGATCCCACTCCTCATCCCAGCGTAAGCTTCCCTCCTTGATGGCTCCCGCCTTCAAGGTCTTCAGCTCGTCCTTGCCACCCTCACTTAGAAGCCTGATCAGAACGTCGGCCAGCTCAGTAGCCGTCTCAAATCCGCACCCATTCTCACCCTCCTTAATCAGCTCGCCGAAGCTCTCATATGCCGAGTAGGCAGCCACAGGTAGCCCCGAACCAAACATGTCAACCACCTTCATAGGTAAATCAACACCAGAGCTGGATTTGTGGAGGCAGACACCGAGGTCGGCGCATGAGAGCAGCGTGGCGTACTCGCGGGTTGATAGCCACGCAGTCAAGATGGTGATGCCGGGGAGCTTACCCTCCAGGCGGAGGTTCTTGATCTTCTCCTCGTACTCGGCCTTCTGAGGGCCCTTGCCGGTGATGATGGCCAGTATCGGAGGTCGGCCAACGCCGGTCTCTGTGACGGCCTCTTCGGGGTGCGCGTAGGCCACCAAGGCGTCCAGCAGCAGGCCGAAATCCTCGTCGGGGGTCCATGATGTGCTACTGACAATGAGACGAGTGGTCCCGGCGATGATACTGTCGGCAACGTCCTTGGTCTCCTTGAGATGCGAGAGAAAGTCTTGCCGGGCTTTGGTCGATGCGATGGGCTGGAACACTTCGGCTGGCCGATCGTGCAGGGTGAAGATGGGCTTCTTGTTGCTATACGGCTTCTCCTTGAGCTGCCGTGCCATGGCGTCGGTGACGGTGAGGTTGGCCGTGGGGACTACCCTTCCAAAGTACATCTCATACTTCTTGTAGAGCCATACCAGAGGGTTCTTCTGGCTGCGGCCGGTGGCCATGATGGACCAGCCATAGTTGTGCCAGTCAATTAGCAGGTGGCTTCCTCTCAGGAGGGACACGAGCAAAGCCAGATGCAGCGTCGGGATAGAAGGAGGGTTCTGCAAAAAGTTAGACTGTGGATTCCACAAAGTAACGGCTCACTTGCCTGAATGACAATCCATCGAGCTGGGGGTGCAGTATATGCCAAAACGTAGAAGATGGAATAGGCTTGCCAGACAACTTTGGCCGGCTTATTGATGAGAAATGGCAGGGTGTTCCATTTGAAGACGGTAGGAAGAGGTGGCAATGGGTACAAAGCCACTCTTTCATTGCCAACGAGATCCGGATGGCGGGCAGTCTCCTTGTAACCAACGAGATCGACTCTACCGCCGTGCTTCATGATACTCATGGCATGGTACTGCATGCGAGGGCTCCGGCCTATATCGCCGAGGACCAGGATCTGGATGTGGTCATCCTTGGGGTTCTCAGCCGCATGGTAGCGAGTGGGCAGCAGCTTTGTGAGAAAGTTGATGCCGAGAGCAGCGACAAGAGTGGTGCAGATGCCAGCGATGACGGATAACACGAGAGGTATCAACGACATGTTGGCGATGTGCGACAGCTCGGCACCAATGTAGCAGGGTATTGACGGCGTAGGCCAAAGTGAATCTTTGTGTCTCCGTTGCCGTGAGTTGTTGAGGTGAGAAATGCGGTGGAGTTTGGGGATGGATTGTCAAGGCCTCAGATGTGGTGGTATCGGTCATGCAAAGTATCCCGTCCTGTCATCTGAAGTTGCAATCAACAGCCTTAGCGCGTGCGCGCATGGAGAGGTCCGAGTTGAAGGCTGAGCGGTGGGGGGGGGGGGGGGGTGTCCGTGAGTTTCGCTGAGTATCCTTGGAGAGGGAGGGGAGGAGACACGAAGTTGAAGTGTTTTGGTAGGTAGCAAAAAAAGGCCAAATTGCCCAGACTTGCGTGACCTGACGATGGCCTCGTGGGGAACAAATTGGAATCGCGAGAGGCCTACGAAGCTTCTTTACTGGGCTAGACTCGCACACCTTCCAAGACTTTGTCCTTGTTGGCGCCTTCCAACTTGGGCAGGCCTTTTGGGATGTTGCAACGGTGGCGCCAATGAGGGGCCGATGTGGGCGCCATGATTTGATAAGCACGATAACCGCGATAACACGGTGTCACGTGGAGAAACACGCTGAGTACCTACCCAAGGTACCTTAGTCAAGGTAAGGTACCTAGGTACACACCCTTCTGTTCCAGTCTCCTCGATAACCTCGCAACTGGATCATCAGAAAATAAGGTGATGAGGTGCGGCAGACGGTAGCTTCATCACTCTGCAGATCCCCTGCGTGGGTCTGGATCACGATTCACCAATTGTCTAAATTAGAAATCTCCGAACGAGACTTTTCGTCACCCAATTAATGGAAAACCAGCTGCTGCACATGCAAAACCGACACAGACCAACTCAGCCTCAGCACAACAAGAGAGAAGAAAAGACCATCATGCCTGTCGACTGTCTTGCCTGTGTGCCTGTCACCCGGCGACATCTGAACTCCTCTCACAGGCATTGGCTTGGCCCAGAAAACATGTCGCAACGGGGCTGGCCGCGGATAGCATTAGCAAGTGTTAGCCATCAAACCGCCTTACCCGCGACCGTCCCATCAGAGATTATCCGCCCAGACATGCCAGGCAAGCCAGGATCGAGGGTATTGCGTTGTCTTGCTCTTTGCTGATCCGTATTCATACTCTATCCCCTGAACAGCTTTATGCAGCTGCCCAGTGCCCCTCCTGATGGACAATTGGATGGCATCTTTGATGTGTCACCCAGCGAATCACAGACACGACCGCCCTCCTCGACCTGCACCTTACGTACCCGGCGCCCGGCCTCTCCCCACACGGAGAAATCTGCAGGGGTTGACGGCTGGATTCCCCTTTAGGTTCAGGTCCCAGAAGTCCACGGGTGCGAGAGATTCATCTGAAAGATTGAAAGGAGGCAGCACCCGACATGCCATGCGTCCCGATGGTTCAGCCCAAAAAACAACAACAACAACAATAACGCTGCTCCATCCTCCATCATCCATGCTGGCATCTGCTGGCCCATCCCGCCTTTTTGACGACCTGCCGTACCGATACCGATACCTTGCAAGTGGAGGCTTAGGTTGATTGCCTCTGGGAGGTAGCATCGAGGACACCCTTATTGTTCCTCTTCTTCTTCCTCCCCTCTGCATTCAATTCCTTTGCTCCCCTCCCCGCTCCTCCTTTCAGCCACACTTGGTCCTCTTTCATCTTATTAGATCTCCAAGTCTCAGCATTCGACAGCACAAGCGAACCAATCCATTCGTATCTGTCTACCTACTCTCGCCGCTTCCAGCATTGTCTGTGCGAGGCGCCGGCACGTCCGTCGACGATCAAATCTCCCGTCCCCCTCCAGCGCTCAGCGTTGAACTGCGGCGCGCAACGTCATTGACGGGGCGACTCCATTCCGGCCTTTTTAGCCTGTGCAGGTCCCCTGAACCACCACGCACCGCCATCAACTGCCAGCTCCAGGTCTTCTCAAGGTACACTGGCCCGAACACACACACGACTCTTGCTCCATCATCTTCCAGCTCCACGGTTCTGGACGTTCCACGACACCTCAATTGCGACGCTTTTCAACATCTCGTACCCGTTGTCGACCTGTCTTCGACGTACCCCAGAAAAAATTAGCGGATGCGGATAACGTCCGGCCCATGACTCAGGTTAGCACGAGATAGGGGCATCTTCGAATAGATCCCGACGCAACGGGCCCTTGGTGGAGAGGCGAACGAAAACGACCCAACGAAAATACGACAGAGGGGACACTACACAGGCCCTTTTCCTCGCCCATCCCCGCCGATACCGACACCGACAACGATCCCAGTCCCGGGTCCCAGACCGACCGACGACCGACCTCGACAACGCGCGCCGCGGTCAACATGGCCTCGTCCTACGCCTTGCCATCCTCCGCTCTACCGCACGCTCACCATCACCACATGCACTCCCACTCCCACTCGCCGCCGTCCCTTCACGCATTGAAGTCGACAATGTCCACCGGCGGGCTGCACTCCCACAGCCAGAGCCAAGACTCGACCGGCAGCAGCCACGCACATAACCACGATCATTCACACAGTCACAATGGCCACGCCCACGGCGGTCACTCACATCACCGAGCGAACTCGAGCCAGTCGTCCATTCCTCGAGAAAGAGCGGCGCCTCGCTCTCTCGCTTCAATGGATGGCTGGAAGACGGACATCACACCGAGCGGTCGTCAGTTGTTGACGCCTACAAATGGGTCCTTTTCGGAAACGTTCCAGCCTCTTGACGGCGCAATGACGATAGACGAGCATTCTCACGATCATCACGATCACGATCATTCACACTCGCACGACCACGCTCATGGCGATTGCCATGGCCACGACCATCACGGCCATTCACACGCCCACAGCCACAGCCACTCCCACTCTCACGACCATGCGAAGCCGTCTCTGTTTACGAGGGTTCTCCTGAAATATACGCCGGCGGTTCCGGTCCTCCACACCATTCTCGTGGAGAAGGACTCGAGAAGAATCTTTTACTTCATGACGTGAGTCGGACTACGAAACACTCCACCTTGAATATCACTGACATTCTGGTTTTCGCAGTCTCAACTTTGGCTTTATGGCCGTACAAGCGTTTTACGGCTACGTCACCGACTCGCTCGGTCTCCTCAGCGACACGATCCACATGTTTTTCGACTGCTTTGCCCTCTTTGTTGGTCTTTGCGCCGCAGTTACTAGCAAATGGCCTCAGAGCCAGCGATTTCCATTTGGGCTTGGAAAGATCGAGACGCTGAGTGGTTTCGCCAATGGCATCTTGCTGATGTAGGTTTCCCAAGCTGCAGCACGAGTCACAACGCTGACAAATGATAGGCTTCTTAGCGTTGAGATTATCGTGGAGGCGTTTGAGCGAATTTGGGAAGGTCAAGAACTTCACCGATTGCGGGAGCTTCTCATTGTTAGCTTCCTCGGCGGTGTCATCAACCTGCTGGGCCTTTGGGGCTTTGGACACCATCACCACGGCCACGACCATGGTCACGGGCACTCGCACTCACACGACGACCACGACCACGGGCATGATCATTCGCACGGAAAGAAGCATAGCCACGGGCACTCGCATCATAACGACAACATGGAGGGTATTTTTCTGCATGTTCTGGCCGATACGATGGGAAGCGCCTCCGTAGTGCTGTCGACAATCTTGACGTACTACACGGGCTGGACGTTTTGGGACCCCTTGGCCTCTTGCGCCATTGCGATCCTGATTTTCCTCGCGGCGATTCCGCTCATCAAGTCGTCCGCGCGCAACCTACTTCTCAATATCCCCGACGACATTGAGTACAACCTGCGTAATACGCTCGCGGGGATTTTGCAGCAAAAGGGTGTTGTCAACTACTCGGTGCCCAAGTTCTGGATGGACCACCGGAGCAGCGAGGACTCAGGGGACAAGCTGCAGGGCATCGTGCACGTCGTGGCGGGGAGAGGTGCGAGCCTAGACGAAGTACGGGATCGCGTGCGGGAATACCTCTTGAAGAACTCAATGGACATTGTAGTCCAGGTTGAAAGAGAAGGCGACGGCAGCTGCTGGTGCGGCGTTGGAAGGTCGACGGGATTGGCCACGACACCCCTCAAGAGGGCATTTTAGAGAAGCGGACAACCGACCCCCTTGACGACGATTTTTGAGATATTGGCAATCCCGGACGAACGAACGAAGCGGGAGTGAGAGTAGAGTGTCTGGTCTATTTTTCTTGTGTTTCTTCTTCATTGACTAGACAGCGGGACAGAAAGCGAAGACGAACCGCATAGAGGCTTGGTGCTAGAGAGACCCCCGATTTTGGAGACGGGGTGTTACGCGGTCGGGCTCTTTCTTCTTCTTCCTTCTAGGAGTCACGGAACGTTTATACATCAGGCAAGTCGCATCACGGAAGGCATTGCGAAACGGCCATTCAAGGAAACATTTTTTGTATGAGTAGAAGAAGCAAGTGCATACACATGGTTTTGCGCGAGGGGTGGCGATGGAGAACATGGAGAACAAAAAAAACTTGATACCCTTGAGGCTAAAGTTATTGCGCACCTATCTTACTTGATGAAATCTGTGAATGCTCCGCCGACCCGAGATGGCCTGTAAGAAGTATGCTATACGAGCGTGTGACGTCTCGCAATGAGGGCAGTTCTCCGGCCGCCCGCGTGGGGGTTGAGCTGTCACTTGTTTACTTGGACGAGACGAAATTAAGAATTCAGGCGAGGGGTTTTGTGCGACTCTGTAACTCGTCTCGGGAATGTGGTCTCACATCAAGGTCCTCATAAGGCGGGTGTATTTCAGGGAGAGGGAGAGGGGTGTTTTATGCATGCTGACCGATGATGGCATTGGGACATCGGGAAATCACATGAAAGTAACACCAACTGTCTGTGTGTGTGTGTGTGTGTGTGTGTGTTTATGGGAATTGACTTTCATCCCATTCTTCCTTCAGACCGTTCACACGATTACTAGCCAGCGGGTTCACATTATAGTTTGCATCACATAAGCATCTCACTAGCATCAATTTAGAAGCCACCTATGATTATTCGTCATCGCCATCTTTCTGCATGCGCGCTGGTCTAATTATGTACCGTTGGTAGGTGTTGCTTTGCAGGATGAAGAAAGTAGCAAAATACAGAGCACCCCGCTAGAGCAAGGCCCCGATCTAGGCCCAGGTCCTCCCCCCATTTCCCCCTCCTTTTCCCTCTCAAGTTTCTTCCTTTCCCCCAGAAAGCCCGCCCGGACCGGAGCAGCCCTTGGTAAGGTATGGAGTAAGTACCTGAAAGTAGCGGGATGGGCAGCTCATGTGGTGGGAAAAGTTGGGGGGAAAAGGAGCCCTGGCACCACAATGAGCCGAACGACCGAGGCACCCAACCATTACACCGCACTACAGTACCTATCTATGTACACCGCACCGCTGTGCCGCCAGCGCCAAGTGCCACCTCAAGAGTTGGAGGTTGCTGCAGTTTCATCCCGCGCCGCTGGGATGAGCTCTCGAGTCAATTGCCCGTAGGAACTTGAAGAAAAGACGATGGTCTGTCCTCTTTTTGGATGCAACCGGCCACTTGTCACGTCCCTCTTTCCTTGACGTTTTCTTCATTGAACCTGTAAGCAAGTCATCACCAAATAAAAATCATCACAAGCCAATTCAAGAAAAGAATCTGGGGAATTTACTACTTCGAGTGGATAAGGTACCTCCTCCGTAAGGTACACAAAATTCCCCATACTCCGGCTACAAGTGGAGACTCCCAAACCCCCCAATTGGAGTGTTGCCGAGGCTCAAACGACTGACGTACCGCAACCGCAGCGAGCTACCTCAAGGTACCAGGTCTCCCGCCATTGAAGTGATCTCGCACTCCCTCTCTCCGATCCGACCGCGCACCGCCCTCTCCAACGGACGACCGAATCCAAAACTGCAACTCCAACTACTAGTTCCCGAACGCACGAATAGTTGCAAAAAAAAAGAGCTAGCAACCCAGAAACTGCACCAGGAACGGACCGCACGGTGGTAAAGGCACACATTGGATCGCATCACAGCTTCGCGCCTAGGGCAAGCTACCGGACATCAGCAACAAAGCCAGAGAAGACGGGAAAACCCAGAGCACGTGAAAGCTCCCCCTTCCTCTCCCCAAACACTCTTCTCACCCACGACAACAATCTCACGACAACCTCCTTCTCGCCATCCACACAAAACCTTCCCTCCTCCCTTCTCCAATCCTCCTAATCAACCCAGGGTCCCCTCTCCCCCCCCCCCTTCTACCCTCCCTCAAAATGGCACCCTCCCCGACAGAAGCAACAAAATCCCTAAACCAAACCCTCCAAACCTCCCTCCCGACCCCCGTCGCCGACGCCATCCCCCGCCTCCCCGAATCCAAAGACGAGCTCAAAGCCGACACGAAAGCGGCAGCCTCGGGCCTCGCAACCCAACTCCGCTCCCTCGCGGCAGGCGGCTTCGGCGGCGTCTGCGCCGTCGTCGTAGGCCACCCCTTTGACCTCGTCAAGGTCCGCCTCCAGACCGCCGACAAGGGCGTCTACTCCTCCGCCATCGACGTCGTCCGCAAGAGCGTCGCGCGCGATGGCTTGCGGAGGGGTCTGTATGCCGGCGTGAGCGCGCCGCTGGTGGGCGTCACGCCAATGTGTATGTTTCTCCCCTCTCCTCTCTTCATGCCTCTCGGCTAACAAACCCACCCCAAACAGTCGCCGTCTCCTTCTGGGCCTACGACCTAGGCAAGACCCTCGTCCGCACAACCTCCTCCGCCCCCGACGCCCCCCTCACCATAGCCCAGGTCTCCGCCGCAGGCTTCTTCTCCGCCATCCCCATGACCGCAATCACCGCCCCCTTCGAGCGCGTAAAAGTGATCCTCCAGGTCCAGTCCCAGCGCCTGAAGCCGGGCGAGTCCCCCAAATACAAAGGCGGCACCGACGTCGTCCGCCAGCTCTACGCCGAGGGCGGGGTGCGGTCCGTCTTCCGCGGCTCCGTCGCCACGCTCGCGCGCGACGGCCCCGGCAGCGCGGCGTACTTCGCCGCCTACGAGTACATCAAGCGACGGCTCACCCCCAAGGACCCCGTCACGGGCAAGCCCTCGGGCGAGCTGAGTTTGCTCGCCGTCACGGCTGCCGGTGCGGCGGCGGGCGTGGCGATGTGGATCCCCGTGTTCCCCGTCGACACGGTCAAGTCGCGCCTGCAGACGGCCGAGGGGAACGTCACGCTTGGCGGCGTGGTGCGCGAGGTGTACGGACGGGGCGGTGTGAAGGCTTTCTTCCCTGGTTTCGGACCCGCGCTGGCGAGAGCTGTGCCCGCGAACGCGGCTACGTTCCTTGGTGTCGAGTTGGCGCACCAGGCTATGAACAAGGCTTTCAACTAAGAGGGCGAAAGGAGGTGTAGGAAGGGGGATAAGATGGTGTGGTTTGAGTTCGTGAGAAATTGAGCAGGACAAAGATGAAAAGGGGGCCTCGGTGGTGGAATACGAAGAGGGAGTACACGGGGGGGCGTTTCTAGATGGAGGCATACTCGTCATAAAGCTCTTACACTGAATAGTCTCGAGATGTTTTCCCTTGTGTCATGCCTAAACAAGACTAGAAGCGAATTATTCAATATTTCACTCATGACACAGCCTCGAACTCCTCTCGCACAGATATAGACACACACGTAAACGAGCAACTGCAGTTTGAACTTTTTTGTGTAATTATTCATCTATGCTATCCATCCATGCCTTCATAACAACTATTTGGTGGCTGTTTTTGGGGGGGAAACTTCAAAAAAGGCAAAACCCTCCTGCTAATGCCCCCCTCCCTACTGCGCTATTAAAAATGATATCATGCTCTGGAGCCACTCCAAAACTTTTTGTCCCTACGCAATGCCATAATGAAGATGAAAAAAGTAGAGATTTGTCCTTTTGCCGCCCAGATGCAGGCGTAACAGCGCTGTTGTGATTGTGTGCGCTTTTCCGCTGTAAGATAAACCTTCCATGCTGTGTGATGCCATCCTGTCCTTTGAGGATGTTCGTACGCTACATTCCATGAGATAGTCCAACGCCGCGTTGCAATGCAATCGTCTCTTGAAGCAGCCCATCAACCGCGCTCGTTCACGGTCCAACGCCGCTTCGAGGTCGTCATGTCGCGCATAATTTCAGTCTCCCCCAAAGGGCGCGGCGCTCCCCATAGACCCCCGCTGGCAAATGTCCCCAACTGAGGAATCTTGTTCTCCTCGTCCGTGCCGTCGCTCGAAGTAGGACGAGAGATCTCTTGCAATCTGAGGGGGACCTTTGCCGGGCCACCCAGCTGCGGCTCCTTTCTCTCTGGAGTCGGAGGCTTGACAATCTCCTGGCCGGGCTTGGAAAGGGCGGCCAACTTCTTCCGGTGGTCAAAGTCCGGAAAGATGTCGTCCTCCTCATCCTCCTCCTCTTCCGTCTCCTTCTTTGGTGTGATTGGCGACCACAGCCCCACGGACAAGGTCGGTGATGGCTTCGTAAAGTTTGTTGCGCCGCTGCCGACCGTGATCCCGGTTGTATTGAGCGCGGGCGTCCTGGGAAGGGAGTATGTGTTATTCGAAACCCGGCGCATGCTGCCCAGATTTGCGTTTGCCGAGTTGCTTCTACTTCCAAAGTCAAACGAGTCGGGGTTGAATGTGATCGGCGTCGGCGTATATGTGGTCGATCCTACGGTCGAGATGCGCCCTCGCGAATATGACTGTCCGTTTTGTGAGTGATTTGAGGCTGTCGAGGGAGCTCTGGATAGATTGTGGGTGGCCGAGACAGGCTGGCGCAGATGCTCGGTGTTTGCAAATAGTTTGAGATCGTAATAATGATGGACGGGGATGATTCCTTTCGTGCCGGACATTGGGTCGACGTCAGGTTCCGACATGGGCGTATCCAAGCCGGAGGGCTCCGAGTCGCGACCGGGCTTTCTGGCGGCCACGGTCAAAGAAGCCATCGCCACGTCCATCAGGACCGGCTGGTGCGTGATGGCGCCGATTAAGGCGTTGCAACCGGCACCGTGAGATACCAGGATGACCACCGGCTCTACATCGTCGTCTTCCTCATCATCGATAGCACACTCGGTGTCACCATTTTGGGAGGTCTTGACGACCTTGGTGACCATTTCCGCGGGACGCTCAGCCGTAGTGTACCAGTCCACCAGCTTCTGAATACCCTTCCTAAATCGGTGGTGCATGGCTGTCCACTCCTCACCGTACTTGCCACCATCGCCCCAGTCCAGAGGCTCCCGCATCGAATCCCATTGGTAATCTACTGACACGCAAGCATCTCGCGCGTGCGCAACATAGCCGTCGGGGATGGTGTGGTTTGGTGAAATAGCGTAGTGGGGACTGGGGGCGACATATCCGTCATTTGGGTTCGCGGGCTCTGGCAGTGTGAAACGAACGCGCTGGCTTGAGGTGCTAGCCGTACTGCCAGCCCGACTCCGCGGCAGAGCACCAGCCACGGCAGATACGTTTTCGAGACCCAGGATGGAAGGTGAGTTGGAATCCGAAGATCCAGACCTTTCGGGGGCGGGAGCGGGGGTAGCTCTGAACTTTGGGCTGTTCCACAACTGACTCTGGGCTTGGCCGACGGAATTTGCGTGGTGATGGGAGTGCTCTTGGATGTGGTTGTGGGCATGAATGTTCTCCCGTCTGAGCAGATCGGCCTTTGCTCCAGCCAGCATCATCGCGGAACCCGGAGGCGGCGTAATCATTTCAAAGTATTCCGGGGACAGCCACTCCCCCAAGAAGGCATCCAGGCGCAACGTCGATTTCTTGATCATCTTCTTCTTGGCCTGCTCGGGCTTGGTACCGTTCGCGTCGTTCGAGAGGGGATCGACTTCCTCAGCTACGGACGCTGGGAGAACAAAGGGTGAGGCTGAAGGGTTCGCGCTGGGCGAGGGCATCGAGTACGAGGGCGTACCGGGCGGAGGCGCCTGGGCCAGGCCCGCGCTGATGGCGACGGAGGTTTGGACGCATCGCAAGAACGGGGAGCTATGGAGGACAACCTTGAACTTGCGGCGCCTCTTTTGCGAGTCGACAGAGCCATTGCGGCCGTTGGAGAACTTGGAATCGGCATTGACCTCTGCTTCGGCCTGTCTCAGTATGTTTCCAATGCGTATGCCGAGTGCTTTGGCTTGCTGCCAGCCGCCGTAGGTCAGAGGAGGGTCGTAAGGTGTCGGGGACGTGAGATGCCACTTCTTGTCGGCGGCGTCGAGACGTGCGCCGTGCCTAGTAGTCTCGTCAGCCTTCCAGAAGCTTGCAAGCGTGGGTTGTGAGTAGGTCCTCTTACCTGACGACGAAAATGTACGCCGGTGGGCGCCCCATGTTGTCGGCGACGCAGGTGAGAATGCGAAAGCCCACTCAGGATATGTGCAGTAGTCGGCCGGCGTGGGGAGGATTAGGTGAAAAGACAACGGCGTATGTGACAACCTCTCACAGCGTAAGAAATACGGACGGAGGATCAAATAACGATGGGTGGAAATGCGGCTAAAGACACCATCCAAGACTTTGCGGACCTAAAGGATCGGATGGCTTGGGTAGGCGGAATAAGCTTCGATGTGCCGGCGGCGGAGGACCGAGAGGGCACGGGCAAAGGTAACAGACTAAGTTGCAGATGGCCGGGACGGTTTTGGTAGTTGATGCACTTGGGACCGTTCAAGTTGTGATATTTCGGGATGGACGGAGTTGATGTGAGGACAAGCTGGAAAGAAAGACAGGTTGAGTAATCAGAAAGACGGAACGAGTCGAGAAAGTAGAGAAGGCAAGAAGGCGAAGAAGAAGCAGCGAGGTACTGGCAGAGAAGTAGTAGGCAGGCAGGCGGACGAGGTGGAGGGCCTGGCAGGCGGATTTCAGAATTTCTGCCACGAGTTTTACGTCGGTCATCCGGTGTTTGGGTGCCCCTCTCTCCGTGTCCGACCAGTTGGCACCGACTTCGCAAGCGCTAAGATGATGGGACTATCCGTAACAGACTAACAGCAAGTAGGCAGATGGAGACCGTTGACGAGCATGCCATCGGTCGGTCAGCGGGCGGTGGAGATGGAGGGAGAGAAGAATCAAGGTGGAGCGGAGCGGTCGTGGAGAACCTGCCTTAAGATGCAATCAATCGGCACCGAGTCGCGACAAACGAGCCAGGCTTGGGGAGGGTCAATAAATGTATTAATTTGCGATCGGATCCCGCCCAGGCCCAGGTACCCAAGTATCAAGCCAGGTATTGAGGTAATGCCTCCAGGTACGGATACAAACAGGGGATGTATTTATGTACGCAGAACGTACGAAGATGTATGTATGTATGGTCCAGGCGCAGGTGCAGTCGCAGCCGCAGTCAGTCAGTCGTGCAGGTTGCAGAAGGCACAAAAGAAAGCAGCCTCAGGTACGAAGCATTTAAAGGTACATGACGGATATGTAGAACAGTGACAGAGGGTAGGTAGGTTTTTCAAGGGTTGTCAAAGGCGGGGCAGATTCTCCTCTTCTGCTTTTCTGCCTTTCTGCTTTGTCTTCTGGTCAGGGTCACATACACAAATCGTAAGTGCAAAGACACAATGATGCAAGGACTCGGAAGCGACACATCTCAGAGACTCACACCCTCGCCAATACGGATCATCGTGGACAGCCCACCGGCTACACAAGAATCGTCAAGGGTCAGACGATGGTCCTATAGTGGTGTGGTGATGCCGGGTGCGTCAGTGAGGGGGAGAAGAGTTGGAGGAGGGCGAGGTACCTTACTGAGGGTTGGAGGGGTAGCAGAGGCATAGGTAGGTTTGGCGAGTGACAGGCCGGGAAGACACTGCGAGCCGGCGAGGGAGGGGGTTGGATTGTCACTGCCATTGCCGAACATATGTCTGCGCCCACCTATGAGGTACCTATGAGGCACCGCTGCTGATTTGAGCATCTCGGAGACGAACCAGAGACGAGACAGGGTCTTGCATGTCTGTTACGCCAGGCGCGTCAGCCGTTGCTACCTTAGCTTGGGTAGTCTTTACTCTTCAGGAGGGGTCGCTGCCATGGATGACGGAGCGGTGCAGAATGCAACGAAAAAAGATTCATTTCCTTGCCTCTTTGCTCTCTGTCACTCACTCTGTCACTCTGCGGTGTGGAAATGTGCATGTGATTGTCCCGCTCTCGCTTTTTAGCGCCAAACGTAATCACGGCACGTGGGGAGACAGGAAAATTTTAAACGAGCAGAAGACGAAGAAGACTTCCTTCCTTGCTGGCAATATCCGAAAATGCTAGGTGCTAAGGCCCGGTCTACGAGATGAATAAGCTTAAGTAATCAGACTCCGACTGCCTGACACTCTCGTACCTATGTCGTCCTTCGTCTTTTCTCCTCCATTCCCAAGCAAAAAATGCAAGAGGTACCTACCAAGGGCAATCAAACCATGAGCT